AGTTCCTGTGGCTTCTAGTCAGTGGCTACTTCGCACTCCGACCGGGTCTACACTGCGAAGCCGCCGGATTTAACCGGCATGACCTGCTTCTCGACACAAAAGTCAAACCGCAATGGGAAAAAATATCCCACCGACCCAGGATAAAAGGGTAAAAGGAACTCCCCGTGACAGGATCGAACTGTCGACCTTCCGATGAAGCGCTTACGTAAGCCTAACAGTCGGACGCTATAGCCAGCTAAGCCAACAGGGAAGTTGAAAGCATTGGATCTTAAGGCATTATATGGTTAATCAAGGCTGTAGCGACTGCTAGAATGGGCTTAGGGACATAGGTAGATTGCCATAGGGCGTGAGAGGATGACCTGTCAGTGATACAGCTGCGTACGAGCACCCTTGCGCGTTGAAACCACCGCACCCATTGTTGTTGCGCCTGCTGGAGCGCTGGAGCCTGGACTGGCGTTGTTCATGAGAGTTCCTCTGTCATGCAGTAAGTATTCTTGGTGACCGCTCTCAGTAGAATCCATAAGCTGAGGAGATGACAGAGCTTGGTGTTCGCCCGGCCGATAACTTGAAGTCCGCTGGCTCGATATGCTGGAATGTTTCATGATAGACTTTAATCGACTTCCATATCTACCATTACGCGGTACAGACACAGCTTGCACGTGGGGAAGTCCTTCATGTGTTCGTGCTATAGCTAACCTGCGTCAGAGTATGATTGCAAGCGGCGTCCTAGGAGCTCCTTCACTAGCCCCGCAAGATCAGTTTCACTGCTTTCGCTCAATCCTTGACCGGGCGCGATAAACGTTCGGTATACTATCGGAGACGTTTTGGGACTTCTATACGAGAATCAGGAGACTTCGGTGACGTTTCATGCTTTACCGCTGTTGTCGACCTCAATACAGATGTCAATGTCCGTATGCTTAGATTGTACATTGGTGAGTCATGGAGTATACTGCTGACCGAATGGCTAACTGCTGGTACGGATCACTCGTCATACAGTCAACAACGCCTCTGTAATCTCCACACACCATTGCCTGTGGAGATATCGTATGTTTAGTGCAGACCACTCAGCTATCGTGAGAGCACAACATGCAAACGTATGACACGATGTATCGCAACGTTGCCAACCATCAACCAACTCCGTAGATAGACCGTTCGCTACTTGCGGCAGCCTATGAATGATGCGCGAAGCAAACGCAGGAGGCTCCTGCAGGCGGGGAAGTCGTAGGCCTCGCGTTTCTCGTCGAATGGGATCGCAGGCATTTGAAGACAATGACGCAGAATTGTTTGTTTCTCGGCACGCGCAGAGCTTCCTTCGAGTTTCTGCCGAGGTAAGCTGGCAGGGGAGCGCGTACACTGGCGCGGTGCGGTGCCGGATGTCGTGCAGCCCGAGCGCCGTCACCGCCCGCACTGGACGACGTAGCGAAAGAACAACGCAACGCTGGAGAGAAGCTTGTCACGCGCAACGGTGTGGAGCTGAACATGCGAAGCTGATAGGAGGACCGTTGAGATTGTTAGACGCCTCCGTAGCGGCGAAAACTAAATCAGGATACCGCGAAAGAAGAGCTGTGGGAGGGTCGTTCGACTCCGGAGTGGCGCTCGCAGCAGACACGCGCGAAGACGCATGAGAAGGAGCCCAAGCGGCCGATGAACGCATCGCAACTCCGGGCCCGTCAAGGCCGGTGGTCATGCGCAGTGGCGCCAAGCTTCCAAGCGACGCGGAGGTGATTTATTACGGTTCTCGGTTTTATTGCGATTCTCGGAGAGTTCGGTGGGGAATAAAGCCGCGAGCCGAGGATGCGCAAGTACGTGTAGATTCGCACGCACGACGCCCAACTGGAGCGACAACTTCGCGAAAAATATCCATGGCTAAACGGTTCTCCTACCGCTCCATTGGGTCTAATTACCCCAGATATGGACAATCTGATAGTCAGAAGCCTGCGTATCCACGGTTCCGGCATAGTAGTAGCCGAGAGCGTTATCCTGGTTCAGAGCGAGTTCTTCGTCGAATAGCCACTGATACCCAGTGTTCCACACTTGAGCCCATATTCAATTACCATAGTCGACAAGGAGACGGTGTAATGTTGCGGCTGAAAGATGGGGAGGGTGCAGACCGCAGTGGCCGCTGTGTGAACGCAGGCTTCCCCAGTCGAGACCAATGGCCAGGAATTTCTCATAAAGCGAGTATGTCAAAGACGTCGTTCCAAATAGCGTAGTGACGCGCAGAACCTCGGAGCGCAGCCATCACGAGGAATATCCGTTGTGAGAAAGAGCGAGCCACGGTAAGTGAGGTTGCCGGGCCCGTGCGCGTCTGCCCAGCGCTGCAGAAACGTCACGAGTTGTCGCGCACATGAAGATGACAGTGCGAGACCCTAGGCGCCAAGTGATGCAGCAGACTCTTTGCGGGGAAGACGTGCGCCTGGCAGTTGAACAGGGCTCTCAGGTGACAGAGCGTGTGGGACTCGTCGAAGTGTGTACAGCATAGGTTACGAGGCACCGCAAAGCATAGATATTTGCGTGACCGTGTCACAGTTGCGGGCCCGTTGGCTGGAGGTGCGGCGACGACGACGGTGGGCGGTGGGCGCGAGAGAATTCGAAGTCCATGGCGGTGCTGGGAAAGAGGATACTTCCGCGATCAACTTGTGTCCGGCCTGCACGACCGCCCGCACGACCGCAACCATGCCAATCAAGCACCTCGACTGTGAGTCGCCCAGGACACCCTCTGCTCGTCGCCGGCGTCGCTGACGAGCCCTGTTAACTTGGAATCGTAGCCTACCTCGCCGAGCGCAAGTTTCTGCAAATTCTTCCACTTTCGACGCTTTCCGACAACCGTCTGGGCATTGATGCTTCGTACTACCTGCAAAACTTGCTCGACAGCCCGTCCAGCCGGGAACCGCTGCTGGCAGCGACGGGGGGCCTCCCGCTGGCGCTCACGACCCGCATCGAGACCGACCTGCGCGCACTCGAGAAGCTGCGCATAAAACCCGTGTTCATATTCCCTGGTCTCCCGCCCAACAAGCGCTGGAAGGCTCCTGGCGGCGCAGAATACGCTGAAGCCGTCCGCGACCGCCGCGACGCATGGTCCAGGTACGAGAGCGGCCGCGAGGAGGAGGCCACTAGGCTCTTCGAAGGCAGAGCAAACGTTTCCCACTGGGACCTCTGGCGCTCCGTCCTCCGCATCTTCAGGCATAGGAACGTCGAGTTCCTTATCGCCCCGTACAACTCGTGGTCCCAGGTGCGCCGCCCAGCACCGTTTCGCCATCTACTAACATCCCTTTTTGACGCCCGCGTCCAGTTGATCTACTTGCACAGGCACTCCAAGTCCTACATCCACGCCATCTTTGGTCCTACGGATATCCTGTTGTACACTGGCATCGACAAGCTCATTACCTTCGTCGACCTCACTCTCGGCAACCCGTCTTTCACCTATGTGTCCAAGCGCACGATCCTCCAGGACCTTGGTATAACCGACGATCTCTTCCTCGATGCTGGTATTCTTGCCGGCTTTGAGCACTCTCCTCCCTTCCCAGCAACGCCAGAGCAGAACTTCAAGTCCATCGTCGAGCTCGTAAAGAGCTACAAGTCCGGACATGCTGTCGTGACTGCGTTCGCCGAACACCCGAGCATCAAGAGTCAGAACTACAACGAGCACTACGCGCGTACGCGTTCCATGATTCGCTTCTCCCTCATCCTCTCCTCCGACGGCAGCGTCCAGCCGCTCCCGCTCGCTGTACCGACCGCGACAGGCCACAGTCACCACACCCATAACGTCACCGCCGCGGACATTCCGCAGGACCTTCACGAGATCTTCACGAACCGCCTACCCGACGAGGTGTACTTCTACCTTTCCCGTGGCCTTTTTGGCCCGCAGGCGCTTGCCTGGCTGACCTCGGGCAACATTGTCGAGAACCCGCCGCTCGACAACGGCGAGCCGACAGAGTACCGCCGCTTCATCAAGGAGGTCGTGACGGACAGCGCCACCGGCCCGCGCACCATTGCGCTCACCCTCATCAGCACCGTGCTGCACCAGTTCTGGGCCAACAGGCGCGTCACGCCATCGTTCTGGTTTGAGCAGGGTCAACGGCCGGACAACTCCGCGAAGGGTTTGCGCCACAGCGACCCGCAAGCCACCCAGTTCGTAGAACGCCTGCCTGGGTGGAGTGTCGGGACTGCTCTTATCGAGGAAGAACTAAGGAGACAGAATGTGCGGCGTCGTGGCGTGTTTTCCCCGCATTGCTTGCACCTCCGCTGACTCGCGTCTAAACAGTCTTCAACGATCGACTTTTCTCTGTGCCTCGGCGCCACGTCGACCGACAAGTTGGCGGCGCGGACCAAGTCCAAGAGTGTGACTGTCCACCCGATTGACAAGAAGGACGAGGTCGTCGCGAATGTCATCTGGCGGTTCCTCGAGCTCCGCGGGTATGTCAACGCTTTCTTTACAGGTCGACCTAGATTACTGACCCTAGAGTGCAGGTTCCTGAACAGCAACCACGGCCACACTATGCACGCCCGCGCGATGAATTCCGCGTTGAAGAAGGCACGGATAAACGACAAGTTCCAAGACCCTCTCTACCTGTTCCTGGAACTTGTCCGCGCGGGCGTATTGCATGGGAACCTCTGGAGTGGCCGTGCATACAGCGGTGGGCCGAGTTTCGGTGACGGTTAGTCGCCAGGTCGCGACCGTGTCAACATGCACTGACGTTTGCACACGATACAGATGAGGAGAAGAAGTGCATGTTACTGATCATGCGTGTGCTTAGCATCGTCCCTTTACAGTACAAGGTACGGCGGCTTAACCGCGCGTGGTTACGTCCCGACGTCGCGCTGACCATTCGTGTGAATTTCCTAGACCCAAGCATGGTCGGCCCCGCTCTCGCGTGAGCTGCTTGTGTTTAACTCGTTCCTTCGCGCCTTGGCCCGCAACCTGCGCACGCTTATTGAGACGGTGGCGCTCAACATGTTATTGCGCGGAGATGCGCGAAAGGCTCGCGACGATCTCCTCGACGTCGCCTTGTCGCTCCCATTCCAGGTCGACACAAACACCGGCTTTGGCATCCTCGCTAAGGTGTATTTGGACGCGCTCACGCATCTCAATGGTCGCCAGCGCGTGACGGACCCTAACGCGGAAGGTGTAAAGGAGGCGAAGGAAATGGCGCTGGAGATCTGCGAGGAGACATTCACGGGTGTTAAGTCGCCAAGGATTGAGGTTGAGCGCGGATTCAGATTCTGGGACGTCGTGAGTGCATTTGCCAA